TACAGGCGTGAGCCACCGCGCCTGGCCCTCTTTGGTTCTAACCGTGCCACTCCCCAGAGAAGCCTAGTTTTCAGATTAGTCTTTGGCAGGCTCAAGATGTCAACAGCACAGTTGAAAACCCCTGAGAGGTCACATAGCCCGCACTCAGCTTTATAGATCGTCCAAAGCAGTGATTAGAATGCTCAGAGAAGAAAAAAAGCTGTTAGCAAAATGGAGGCTGACCATTATCTGTAGTCAAGAACCGGAACTACAGTACAAAAATAAATTACCGAAATGCAACATGTGTGAATTTCAGAAAAAATGGCGTTAAGGGAAAGAAGCCAGACATTGAAGAGTTTATATTATGTGGTTCCGTGAGTCTAAAAACAGCAGAAGTAATTAGCCCATGGTGTTAATGAGCATAGTGTGGAAGATAATGACATGAAAGAGCCGCCAGGGGGCCTTTGGGGTTCAGGTAACGTTTCTTGGACACTGATTTATAGATAGGTGTGTTCACTTCAGAAATCTCATTGAGTTTTAAACTTACCTTTATGTATGTCGTTTCTAATGTAGATTATACTGAAGGCCCAGGGAGGGAATTTTCCAGGGTAATAAAAATGTTACACTGATGCATAGATTTGTCGAGGTTCATGAGATGACCTTCCTAAGAGCTGTGTATTTTATCGTATAATTTTTTTAAGTGTCCAACCAGTAGCCTGGAATTACTAAGTGCATAGTTAAAAACAAATAGCCGTTTGCACGGAGTGAAAGCTTGACCTAATGCAGTGAACAGTCACCTCATTCTCTTAATTGCTCAGGCCGAGTCTTCTCAGTCTTAATTGCTTATACCTGCGTCTTCTATCTCAGGTACATCTTATAGCAACCCTTACTGGCTTAATCTTCAAAATACGTAGCGAATTAAGCGACTTCTCACAACCTCTACTGCTGCCACCTGACACGGTTTGGGACCTGCTATCCCAAAATATGGCACCTAGACATATTGGATACTTTAAACTTAAGGAATTTGAGAAAGAACATATGCAGGAATGTCTCCAACTTTCTTGCACCCTTCTGCCCTGAAGCAGGTCGTAATACCCTCATGTGAGAGTGGCCCTCTCTATACCTGGAAGTAGTATCTGTAGCTCTGAAAACAGGGACATAGAGACGAATATGAACATCAACTTTAGTATATGTGCTGTTGAAGTGAGCACTTCTGAGTAATTTTGATCGTTTTAATGTAAAATTTCGCATTGTTTAAAATACCAGGTGGGGGCCAGCCAGGCATGGTGGCTTATGCCTGTAATCCCAGCACTTTGGGAGGCTGAGGCAGGTAGATTGAGCTCAGGAGTTTGAGACCAGCCTGGCCACATGACAAAAACTTGTTTCTATAAAAAAAAAAAAAAATAGAAATATTAGCCAGGCATGGTGGTGCATGCCTGTAGTCACGGCTACTTGGGAGGCTGAGGTGGGAGGCACTTCAGCTTGGGAGGTGGAGGTTGCAGTGAGCTGAGATCATGCTACTGCACTCCAGCGTGAGTAACAGAGAAGGACCGTCTCAGAAAACAAACACTATATGGCCAAATGAAAGATGTCTGTAGTCTGGATTTGGGCCAAAAGCTATAATCTTACAGCCTTTATTTTTTTTAATAGATGCTGAATTCTAAGAGGAGCTGAGCAATCTCTTGGGCTTTCACTTGGGTTCCATGGATTCCCAGAACAAAATGCAAATGCAAGTGAGACATCATTGGGATTCTCTGCACACTATCTCCACTTTTGTAAGTACCTCTGGAGTTTAGTTTGAATTATATAATATCTCTTACCTTGCTTTACCTTGAAGGACCAACAGCAGGTACCAGGATTAACCAATCATATTTTTTCAAGAGTTTGTAATTGAAACAATTGAGATGGTAGTCTGCTGGTAGTTTGAATAGAGGATGTGTAAACTTGGTAGCCGTGTACTTAAAAGCAGAGAAAGCTTGTTTTCAGACAGAAGAATGAAGCAGATAAGTGTTGTCTGGAAGGACAAGCAGCAGCATAGTTACAGGAACAGTTGCTTTGGGGGTCGTGATGGCATTCCAGCCCCTTGTCCCAGTTCAGGCCCAAGTGTTTAGCCTTTGGGACCTGTGATACAGACACCCTATTTCCTTTCAATTGCCTCTTAAAATTACTATTATTAAGCTAGCTTTTTCAAGGGTTTCTGTTACTTGCAAACAAGGTACCTCAGTAGAGAGGAAAATAAGGCTCTTTGTGGCGGTGCTGTACAGGATATCATTTTGCAGGAGATATATGTGTGTTTTCTAAGTTGACTGGAGTCTAGTGTTAGGTGTAAGAAGTGTTACTGGGTTCAAATGAGTCAGAATAAAGTCAACTAAAAAAAATTAAAAAGACATACATGGACTTCAGAACAAATGTTTATTACTGCTTAATGGGGCCAAAGGGGCAACACAAAGCATCGAAAACATCACTGGCTCACAAAAAGAGTCACCTTGTTACCTTCTCGGTTGCATTTGTTTATTTCACAAGGCTTCATTCACACGTAAAAACAAGATACTAATCCAAGTTCATAACAATTATAAAAGTAAACATTTGTTGGAACAATGTACAATAAATTGCACTTTTTAGACGAGCATTACATTTACATTTATAGAGTATACTATACATAATATATGGCATTATGGAAACATCTAATTGGTCATTGTTTATAGAGGAAGAGGCTGATCACTAACGTTTATTTTGTAGTTAATTAGTACTGTTCAGACTAATCAACTCCTTTATTCTAGAACCTGTTTTCTTTAGAGATGCCATGGACAAAATCACAGAATTCATAAAAATAGATAATTCAGAATCTCTGCTACCTCCTCGGCAAGGGAAAGGTAGGAGTTGGAAAGAAAGGAAGTGGGGCTGACTGAGAAACTTCATCCCTCATTGGAACTAAGGAGTCATGCATTATGCAAAACACCAAAAATAGAGAAACTGATACAATAGGCTTTTGGGACATCTTGGATCTGGGACCATCTCCAGCCTTATTCTTGTGCTTTCATGACACCAGAGTCTTTCAACGCATTTACGTTCTCACAATTCAGTCCATATATTTTATCCCATATATAATATATAGTTATTAAAAGTTACAGTTTAATGGAAAAGATTTTACATGTTAACTGTCAATGGAAAAAGGAAAATAAAATGTTCATTTTCTACTCAGTGATTCTTTTTTCTTAAGCTTTTCAGAATACTAATGACAAATCAGAGATGGAGGTAGGAAGAGTGGGATATATTAATGAAATGTTTTTATAGCTGGCAGCATATTCAGGTAGAGATAAGCTTGACATATGTAGCCTTTTAGATGCAAACTGAGAAAGGAATGCCAGACAGCTGACCGTAGTCACTAAAACCTCCTATACATCCACTTTTCTCATTACAGCTCATGATCGGCATCTCCCACTGAGGTGCTCCCAAGGTCCAAGCCCTCATTTTGTTCACTTTTGAAAGGTAAAGAATTTGCTAAGGTAAAGGACTTTGCCTGTATTAAATGGAAGCCACTATGAGAGAGGAAGCAGCACTGGGACAGTTCTAGTTCAATGTGACTATCAGCATGGTGACTAGAAAGAGTTTTACATCTGGTAGTAGGACACAGTCTACAAGGCTGTGGTCTGGCCTTCTGGCTTTGATCATCATTTCTTTGATCAACCAAATACGCATTTGAGATATGTTGAAATGTGTATTTGGTTGTATGGTACCCAGGTAAACAAAAGAAGCAGAGATACTCTATATAAAATTCCTCCAATTAAACACACATACAAACCTAACTGTTCAAGTCATACAACAGAATTTCTTCACTCTCTCACTTGTAATTGGAGCAAAAGAGTCAGTATTTTGGAGTTTTTTTTTGTTTGTTTGTTTGTTTTTTTAAATTGAGACAGAGTCTTGCTGTGTTACCAGGCTGGAATACGGTGGCATGCTTTTGGCTCACTGCAACCTCTGCCTCCCGGGTTCAAGCAATTCTCCTGCCTCAGCCTCCCGAGTAGCTGGGATTACAGGCGTGCACCACCACGCCCAGCTAATTTTCGTATATTTAGTAGAGATAGGGTATCACCATGTTAGCCAGAATGGTCTCAATCTCTTGACCTTGTGATCTGCCCACTCAACTCCCAAAATGCTGGGATTACAGGCATGAGCCACTGTGCCCGGCCATTTTGGAGTGTTTTTAAGGGCAAGTTATATAATCATCTTGCTTATCAAGTAAAAGTGTTCTTTTCCAGAAGATAAAACAAAACCAAGGCATTTACTTTTTAAAAAAAATTTTTTTTTTTTCCCCTTGTGGTCCCAAAATCAGACAACCACCTAAGTGTTTGATGTCAAGGTTGGTGGAAGAGTTGGTAGACTAATTTTAGCAAAAGTAAAAGAAGGTTCAAGCCCTTACATTAGTTACACATGTGATTCTCCTTCTGGGTGACTGACTGACTCCTTTAAGGATCTAACTGTATCGCCTCTGCCCAAATCTGTATTCTTTTCTCTTGCTTTCTCACTTCAGTTAGGAAATAAAGCAACTAGTTATTAACTGGAAAACATTTTAAGAAAATGGAGCAGGGGTTGGAAAAAAATAAATATTAATACACCCTAGGAAAAAAAAGAAACAAGATACATACTATTAAATATCCCTACATCTGTACAAAGGTTGCTTTTCTACTTTACCAGGGACATTTCAGAAAGCCAATGAAGAAGAAAGTACTAATTTAGGGGCAGGAGAAGACGCTGGTCGAATGGCATTCTTATTAGTGTTCCTGATAGGCACTCATAAATAAACAGAACATTAAGTAACTGAGAATTTCTTTGCATTAAATTATGTGTAACTAAATATAACCAAATTGTGACATGGCTCGGGATGTGGGAAGCTAGCAAACATATGCACTGCAAAATCCAGCTTGATTTCCTTCAGAGTTAAAGAATGTGTGGAGATTCTCAAGATATAAAAGTTGACGAACTGCATTACCAAGTTGAATTTCATTCATTTAATGTTTTTTACAGAATTTCATGAAAATAGAAATGATCAGTTCTCAGATATTACGAATACTAGATTTCCAGAGGAATTTTTTTTACAGAGTGCATCCTAGGAAAGACACTGGAATCTTTTGAAACCTTCCTGGATATTTGGCTGGTTAATCTCTTCTAAATGAAATTCAAGACAAGAGATGCAAGTCTCAAAATATATCTCAAAATAAGTGAAATTAAAACTAGCAGTTACTTCATGCTGGAATGCATGAGTTTTCAAACAATAGACAGTGAAGGACGTTTTGTTTGGAATATTGCTATTATAACATTGTATGATCAGATCACATATCAAATTCTGAATTTTCTTTGTTTCTAGTCTTAACTATTGCTGCTAACTCAAAGGCATTACAGTGAGGGAGAGTTTAGGCTTATGGTACCAACAGGGATACCCAAGTATGATATGGGGCTGGTGCATTAAAAAAAAAACTATGTGTTGCCCTCATAATCTTTTGTAAGAGCTACAAGAAAACTCAAAAGATGGACTTACCAAACTTGACATGTATACACCTGTTGATTTTTCTTTTTTGAGACAGTTTTGCTCTTGTTGCCCGGGCTGGAGTGCAATGACGCGTTCTTGGCACATTGCAACCTCTGCCTCCTCGATTTGAGCGATTCTTCTGCCTCAGCCTCCTGAGTAGTTGGGATTACCGGTACCTGCCACCACACCTGGCAATTTTTGTATTTTTAGTAGAGACAGGGTTTCACCATGTTGGCCAGCTAGTCTTGAACACCTGATCTGAAGTGATCTGCCCACCTCAGCCTCCCAAAAGTGCTGGGATTATGGACATGGGCCACTGTGCCTGGCCAGGGAGGATTCCTCTCTTAAAAGGAAAGGGACTGTGGAGTTGAACAAGGTCTCCAGGTCAGGGATTGACCTAGAGCCATTATGTTTCTCCCTCACCTACTGTTCTTTAAAGAAAATTATGCTTTAGGCATTCTGTGGAATGTACTTATTCTTCTAAGTTGAAACAAGCTCTGTACAGAACTATGAAATTCACAACACAAAAGAACATCTTTAATTTAGCTGGCAATTTGATAAGGCAACTGCACAGGGCTTCTTGGGATTATAGCGTAAAGTACCAATAAAGCTCACAGCCTATACTAAAGGATTTACAAAAACAAGTGCCGAGATAGTGTTTTCTAGCTATTATATTTTACAAAAAAAAAAAAAGTTAGCTTATCTAGACCACCATGTAGAGAATATTAAAGTCAACATAGACACTTGGAATGCTGGGTTATGTTCCTTTTTGGTAAGAAGAAAATAAATTTTGTAATGAAAGACGTCAGAACAACAAAAGATTCATGTAAGAAGAGTATTATCTGATGAGTATAACAGATAACAATCCCATCACTTTTATGGGCTGTAGATGATATAAATGCAGATAAAGGGGATTTCACTTTTTAGAACATAAAAGACCATTTTAGAGGAAAAGACTCACTGGGAGCATCTTGGTGCATCTTCCTTGGGTGGAGATGCTCTTATTTGATTCTTACTTCTAAGAGTGTGTTACTTTTAATTGCAACATATGGCACAGATGAGAATCATTCTGGCACTATAGAGTTTAAGATCCTTTGCAAATAATATGTTCAACGATGAGGGCAATGATGAATATCAACAAATGTTATTGTACATACCTAATAGTGGTTTGGTTGATGTGAAAGGGTCAGAGGCCTCCAAAATAGCTTACAACATAAAAATAGTTTCACTCTTATCAAATAAATTCCTGCAAGGACTATTTTTATAGGCATGTTAAATATAATTGATAAAATATTTCCACTAAATTTTAAACAGTAGCGTTACCTTTCCATGAGATAAGTATTTCTCTAAATATTTTATATTCAATCAAAAATGTTACAAATGCATTTGTATCTCTTTATCTATGGGTACGAAAGACACACTTTCAGGGAACTACAGAAGTCAGAAAAAGTTGCCCAACATTAAACTAAGATGCCGTGAGGATGATCTCTATTTCCTATTTCAGTACTATGTCCTATAACAAAGTTGCAGTATGTTAGTGTTTCCTTAGCAAGTATATATCAACATTAAATGAAATACTCTGTCCCTGGTTCTGTGTTCCACTATATTCAGCACAATGGCTGATCCAGGGCCTTATTAGGCGTCTCTGGTGAAGGCCACCTAAGTGTGTAAGTTGTACTATCCACCTTTAACTTTAAAATTGCCAGAAGTTCCATCTATGTCTATACTTAGGCATACTTAGGAACTTGTAAGTCCCACGTGGAGTTCTTAACAGGATCTGTTACAATACCACAGCCCAAATGATTCCAACCTACGCTTATTAAAATCTCATTTCCATTTACCTAATGTGTATTCTGAATAGCCCATCTATCCCTGGCACTTCATTTCCAGATGTACCGAACAGAAAACCAAAGTAAACCAATGATCATCACTGACTGGTTCTTTCCTTTGGAGAGGATTATGACTCCCCTGGGAATCAGGCTCAGGAGGAAACCTGAGAGTGGTCATACCTAGCCCCACAGTGTGCTTTATCTGAATAAATCCTGAAAAGTTAAGAGGTTTAGCTTTCAATGTTTTTCTCCTGTGACAAAGATCTTCCTATCACTTCAACCTTGGAATAACAAGATGTCTCCATTTTATGTAAGATAAAAATAAGTATGAATTAATTAACTGAGCGCTAAATAAAAAATCATTTAGTTCTGAATTACTTATTTCCAATTGAACATCAGGCATACAAAATAATGTGTCATACTATGATGGATCTGAACATGGCCTTCCATGAAGAAGCTGGAAAGTGGGTATTCAACATAGAACAGGTCAGTTTAAATAACATCCCTTTGAAAAGTGTCATACAAGAAAGAGTGAGAGCTACTGAAAGATTCTGGCTTGTTTTCTGGCCTCCTTGACTTTCCTTCAAAGGGACACCAGGAAGAATCCTCCCAGGTTTCCACTGCTTGATCATTGTGCTCTTGCGCTTGGGTAAGGCTGGAACTATGTGCTCTCCTTGGGTGGCTGGGTGACTGGTGGTGGCTGCAATGGCTGGGTGCCCGTGGCCGTTTTGATAGAGTTCAGGGTTTTGCTAAACCAAGAGTTTTTTGCAGCTTGGATTTCATTCATAAGGGCTCCTCTCTGATGTTCAAGTTCCTAATTAAAGCAAGAAAATCATCTGAGTTAAATAAATGTTTTCTCTGTGCCAAATAAATAAATAATAGCGTACAGCGTTTTGGAGTCCCAAGGTACGTGGCTGCCAGTTTTCCTCCCACAAAACCCAGGAGAGGTTTAATCGGCTTCTTAATACAAGGATAAAGTTGAGAGTTAAAAGAGTCATCAAAAAACTAGCATCTGTGCTTTCTCTCAACGGTGAAAGAAAACCTCATTTTATTCTTTTTTCACCTGCAAGTTAGGTTCAAATTTAGGTTTAGATTGTAACCCAAGATAACAGGTTTAAAAACCACAAATAGGCCGGGCGCGGTGGCTCACGCCTGTAATCCCAACACTTTGGGAGGCCAAGGTGGTTGGATCACGAGGCCAAGAGATTGAGACCATCCTGGCCAATATCGTGAAACCCTATCTCTACTAAAAATACAAAAATTAGCTAGGTTTGTTGGTGTGCACCTGTAGTCCTAGCTACTTGGGAGGCTGAGGCAAGAGAATTGCTTGAACCCAGGAAGCAGAGGTTGCAGTGAGCCAAAATTGCGCCACTGCACTCCAGCTTGGGCAACAGAGTGAGACTCTGTGTAAAACAAACAAACAAACAAACAAACAAAAAACCCACAAATAAATGTAAACATATGGATGAATTTTTACTGATAGTATAAGCATAATGAGTTCTAGTTCCAAAGAAATAGGCTTTGCCCTAAGAATGTCCAAGGTCAGAGCAGACACCTGGTGGAAGCCGGCTGATGTGGTGGACGCTGGCAACATGGCAGCCATGCCGCTAGCAGGGATCACTGGGAAAATGAAGGAGAGTCCATCAGAAGCCAGGACTATTTCTAATTATATTATGCTCCAATATGAATAAAGACAATGGGGAAAGGGGTTTGACAAAATAAGCTAAAGATAAAAAGAAGCTCCAAAGAAAAGAACGGGTGTCAGCCAATGTGTGACTCTCAGGGTAGGGACAGCAGAGTGGGTTTGATTTTTCATTTTCAGGATCAGTCACTGAAGTGACCAAATTCTATGAGAAGGGATGTAGGCAAAAAATCTCAGGGTTAAAAAACACAAAAAGCATATGCTTAATTAAGTTCTCATAAGATAGAATTTTTGTTATTAAAATTTCCTTTAAAATTATATATTTGTTTATATCAGTGTTAAGAATACATGATATAAAACATGATTATGCAGGACACATTAATAGATAGAAAATGTGTAAATCACATGATTCTGACCTTGATAGGTATATTCTGACGTACCAGAGTATCCTGGACCATTAACTCTTTATTCTTTCTTGTTCTTTTACCAAATCACTAACCTGAATTTTACACTTGGCCTCCACCAACTGCAGCTTGGTTTGTGCCAGTTCCAGTTCCATCTCTCTCAGCTGCTTCTTAAGTGAGTCCTTCTCATCATCCGTTTCAATTCCTTGGTCCTCTCTGCTGGCGGCTGCTAGCTTTAAAGCGCCCTCCTTGCTGAAAATGTCACTGCAGTGTTTGCATGCCATCATCTTCCCCTAAAGTATGCAAAAGAGGTAAACAACATCAAGCTGTATTCCATAGGCTAAGTCACCTTCTGAAACAATAGATGACTTTTTAGATGCTGCTTATTGTCATCAAATGCAGGCCCGTTTCTGAAGGTTAATTAATGTTCTTGTGCTGCAATCAAAATCACTGCAGTCAGCCCAAACCCAACAATCCAAGACAGGTGCTCCTTTTTCCTAAAGTCTATCTAGAAATACCCTAGAAATGGAAAGTATTGTAGCATCTCTTTGAAATCTGTTCTAGAAATTTTGTGCTATCATTACTCTTAGTAGATGCCAAGCCCCACACCAAATGCTCTACCTAAAGTATTTTACTTAATCCTAGAGCAGCTGTACGAGTGAGCACTACCATCACCCTATTTCATAAAGAAAGAAACTCGGAGTTTAAGTAACTTGCCTGTCGTAGACTGAGGAAGGTCATCATGACTAACCTAAATCCATCCTTGCAACAAAGTACATGTCCCGCTGTTGAGGTTTAAGTAAAGAGGACCCTACTGTTTAAAGGAATGTAAGTTAACTCTACCACATGCCTAGATTGTCAGCTGGGCCCACAGCACTGAACAGCAGCAACTCTTTTCCAGATAATAGTGCTGTTGTTTTCCTAAAATATCTTCAAAAATAATTCATTATGGAAGCCCTCTTGGGGTTGGGAAAGTAATAATTCATTAGAGATAAAATAAAAAATGATTCAGTCGAGATAAAAGATATTACACACTATTTCTACTTTGGTGTCCTACTGTGACAAGCTCAATGTGTCCCTCACTGTGCCCATCCTCCTCTCTTCACACGCACGGAAAGCAACTCTCCACCATGCATTCGCCACATCCCAAATGGCATGTCTCCACCATTTGGGCCTGAAGACTCTGGGTCATCTTTTCATTACCTCCTCTTTCATCCCATGTCCGGCTTTTATCCCATTAATTTCTTCCTCTGACGTCTCTGAGCTCTTCCCATTCCAGGCCTGCATCCCTAAGGGTCACCTTCTCAGTACTCACTGGCTTCCTTCTCATCACATCCATAATCTACTCTTGATATTCCTGTTCATTAATATTCATTAGACATGTAAAAACAAAATCTCACTCTCTTACTTAAGAACCTCTGAGAATAATTAGGCCAGTATAGGCATATTGTAAATATTTGTTGTGTATTTACCGTTGACTAAATATGTGTTGACTAAAAATGTTAAAGAAATAGCTTTTGATCTGAGTCTTAAAAGTTTACAACGCTGGCTAAGTAATTTTATTAGGTTGAACCACATGAGAGGGAGGGAGGGAGGATGACATTTCAGCAAAGAGCCCACCACCAAGTGCAAAGACATAGCACCTTCAGTAACTTCAAAGAATTCAAAATGGCTTAAGCAGAAAGTAAGTGATATAGCAATGAGTGAGATGGGAGATCCCTGTGCCAGGTCATAAAGGTCTTTAAATACCACGCTGCCAAATTCTGATTTGATCCTACAGAACATGTATTCATTTACTCTACCAAGCTCTGTGCTACAGGTCAAAGATAGAGCAGTAAGTTTGAAGAGCTGCAGTCTGGCAGACCTGCTAAAGTGTGGTGGGTACTGCTGATTCTCACCCAGTATTCACTTCTCCTTTAGGAACAGACCCTGAGTTTATGTGAGCCGACAGTGTGTCTAGATAAAAGGTGACACTCCGTAAATTCCCTCAAAGCTGCTACGTAAGCAGAGGTGTAGGGGGAGCTTCTCAAAAGGCTGCTTAGAAAGAGCTCACCCAGGGGAATGAGGCCTCATATCTTGCATCTCCTTTTGGACTAAAATTCTGCCATAGAGTGTGGGTGTGATGGCAGGAGCTCTAGTTGAAAGGTGACCCTTGGGACAGAAGTCCACATGAAGATGTGGGTCACTAGTGACTGATTAGCTTGGGACTAATGACATCAAGCATCTACCTTTCTAGTCCTAGACTGCTTTTATGTAAAATAATCAACACCTTTTATGTTTAAGCCAGTGTTATTTTGGGTTTCCTATATGTGGCCAATTTAATTCTAAATTGATAGAGTAAGAGTCAAATTAATCACCTTATATTTGGGAACATTCATTCTGATTATAACGTAAAGAATGAACTGGGGGGTAATCGTGACAAAAGAAGATTATCACAGGAAACTGGAAAACCCAAACGCTATCATACCCAGTGAGACGGGAAGAAGCACTAGAGAGATGGGAGGCAGTACAGTCTCCCAGCTAATGTTACTGACTTTAGAGTCTGACTTCCTGGCTTTAAATTCTGGTTCTACTAGGTGTAGAACCTGGATCAAATGAATTAACTGTTTTCAGCCTCATCATCAATCAAGAAAGAAGATATAGTGTCTTTTTTTTTTTTTTTTAATTTTGTACCAGGGTCTCACTGTCACCCAAGCCGGAGTGCGGAGGCATGCTCACAGCTCACTGCAGCTTCAGCCTCCTGGGCTCAAGTGATCCTCCCACCTCAGCCTTCTGAGGAGCTGGGACTACAGGTGCATGCTACCACGTCCAGCTAATTTTTGTATTTTTTGTAGAGAGAGGGTTTCACCAAGTTGCCCAGGCTGGTCAACTCCTGGACTCAAAGTGATCCACCCACCTAAGCCTGGGCAGAGTGTTGGAATGACAGGCGTGAGCCTAGTTCTTCTTTATTCTGGCTAAGAAAAGTTTACGTTCCTCTTCGTGAATGTCATGACCTTTCATTAGGTAGTCTCACTTACTTTGCCACTATTTTCTCTGTTCTTTAATACATATTGTAATCACATCAGTCTCTGTAATGAGACACTGAAATACTCATTCCTATGTCTGGGTCTTCATTCACATCATTTCTCCTGCAATGTTCTTTCTAAACACTTCTCTCGCCGGGTACGGTGGCTCAAGCCTGTAATCCCAGCACTTTGGGAGGCTGAGGCGGGTGGATCATGAGGTCAAGAGATCGAGACCAACCTGGTCAACATGGTGAAACCCCGTCTCTACTAAAAATACAAAAAATTAGCTGGGCATGGTGGCGCGTGCCTGTAATCCCAGCTACTCAGGAGGCTGAGGCAGGAGAATTGCCTGAACCCAGGAGGCGGAGGTTGCGGTGAGCCGAGATCGCGCCATTGCACTCCAGCCTGGGTAACAAGAGTGAAACTCCGTCTCAGAAAAAAAAAAAAAAAAAAAAAAAAAAAACCACTTCTCTCTAATTACTATCCATCCTGTGTTAGTCCAGCCTTCTCCATAAAGCGTTTTTTGGTCTATAGTTCTCATGATGTTGCTTTCTTTACTACTATGATTGTCAGTGTGATCCATCTTAGCACTTTTATTTTTTATTTTTTGAGATGGAGTCTCACTCTGCTGCCCAGGCTGGAGTGCAGTGGTGTGATCTCAGCTCACTGCAACCTCCACCTCCCGGGTTCAAGTGATTCTTGTGTATCAGCCTCTACAGTAGCTGGGATTACAGAAACGAACCATTACGCCTGGTTAATTTTTGTTATTTTTAGTAGACAGGGTTTTCACCATGTTGGCCAGGCTGGTCTCAAACTCCTGACCTCAGAATCTGCCCACCTTAGCCTGCCAAAGTGCTGGTATTACAGGCGTGAGCCCAGCCCAATTTAGCTCCCTTGAACTGCTTCGTAAGTTCTTCATTTGCATGTGTACATAACTTGTCCTATAGGAAATTTTTTTTTTTTTTTTTTTTTTTTTAGACAGACTCTCACTCTGTCACACAGGCTGGAGTGCAATGGCATGATCTCGGCTCACTACAACCTCCGCCTCCCAGGTTCAAGAAATTCTCCTGCCTCAGCCTCCTGAGTAGCTGGGACTACAGGCACACAACACCATGCCTGGCTAATTTTTGTATTTTTAGTAGAGATGGGGTTTCACCATGTTGGCCAGGATAGTCTCAAACTCCTGATCTCGTGATCTGCCAGCTTCAGCCTCCCAAAGTGCTGAGGTTACAGGCGTGAACCACCATGCCTGGCTTTTTTTTTGTTTTTGAGATGGAGTTTCACTCTTGTTGCACAGGCTGGAGTGCAATGGTGCGATCTTGGCTCACCGCAACTTCTGCCTCCCAGTTCAAGCGATTATCTTACCTCAGCCTCCTGAGTAGCTGGGATTACAGGCATGCACCATCATGCCCAGCTAATGTTTTCCTACAGGAAAATTTTAAGCTCCTTTTGATGAGTAATTTCTATAACAAAATGGCAGTCTAATAGCTATGCACATAGTACATGCTCAATAAAACCTTTACTGAGTAATCAATATAAATTCTCATTTTGTTATTTCCATAAAGATTTTAGCTCAGCATTGAGAACACATGGACACAGAACAGGGGAACAACACTCACCAGGGTCTGTTGTGGTGTGGGAACTGTGGGGAGGAAACTTAGAGGAGAGGGCAATAGGTGCAGCAAACCACCATGGCACGCGTATACCTATGTAACAAACCTGCACCTTCTGCACATGTATCCACTCCCCTCCTTTTTTTTTTAGAAGAAATAAAAAAATTTTCAGTTCAGAATAGTTAACCCTTTAATGCCATGACACCTCATCAACTGAATCTTGGTCAGTATGCCTATAAGGTACAAACAGTGATAAATGCTAACTAGAAAGAAGTGCAAAGATAGACCAGAGAGGGAAGATACAAACACAAAATTTTAGCACATCAGAGAGGGAGACCACCAACCCTATATTCATGATATCCCTGATTAATACTGTGTAACATGAGTAAGAACAAAACGCTTTGAACACAAAGTCTGGTATGTCAGGTACTAATCTAAGCACTATATACACTATGTACTTTATATTAATTATCTTACTTAACATTCAGAATGATTTTATGAGGCAGATCAAGTTACCTCTTTATTTTATATTAATTATCTTACTTAACATTCAGAATGATTTTATGAGGCAGATCAAGTTACCTCTATTTATTTTTTCCCCCCGAGATGGAGTCTCTCTTTGTCACCCAGGTTGGAGTGCAGTGGTGTGATCTTGGCTCACTGCAACCTCCGTCTCTTGCTTCAGCCTCCAGAGTAGCTGGGACCACAGGCATGTGCCACCACACCTGGCTAATTTTCTTGTGTTTTAAGTAGAGACGGGGTTTTATCATGTTAGCCAAGATGATCTCCATCTCCTGACCTTGTGATCTGCCCACCTCAACCTCCCAAAGTGCTGGGATTACAGGCGTGAGCCACTGCAACCGGCTGTTATCTCTATTTTATATAAAACAAAAAATGAAGCCTAGAAAGGTTAAATCACTTTTAAAGACTGTTAAATTATATGCTAAATTCCTTAATACACATTTATTTACTGGTATGAAACCTGAATGTATTCAAATAAGATGATGTCAGGTTTCTCTAAAACTGGTCTCAGGAGTTGACTGTGCCAACATTGCCTCTTAAGAGTACCAATCCATTGGTTTACTGTTGTTTCTATGGAATAAGCAATCTGTTTTTTTTTCTTTTTGAGACGGAGTCTCACTCTGTTGCCCAGGCTGGAGTGCTGTGGTGTGATCTCGGCTCACTGCAACCTCCACCCGCTGGGTTCAAGCAATTCTCCTGCCTCAGCCTCCTGAGTAGCTGGGATTACAGGCACAAGCCACCACGCCCAGCTAAATTTTGTATTTTTAGTAGAGACGGGATTTCACCATGTCGGCCAGGATGGATTCGATCTCTTGACCTCGTGATCCGCGTGCCTCAGCCTCCCAAAATGCTGGGATTACAGGCATGAGCCACCATACCCTGCCATGTTTTTTCACATAGAGCAGCAACATAATGCATTTTACCACCAGGCGGCAGCCAGTAAACAAATGTCACAGGTTTGCTTTAAAAATAAACCTCTAAAAATTTAGTGCAAGAATCAGTTACCCCACACATGTTTTCCTGCTAAGTTCTATGTCGCCCATGGTGTTTACTTTTAAAGAGAGTGATGTGATGATCCTACTGAGTCCCATACTGAAGCCACATCAATTCAGGTTCAGTCAGATATGGGCTTCTGAGGGTTCTCAGGTTCACACTGCCCAAGAAAGCTGCATGGCTCATCTCAAGCTCTGGCGCCTCTTTGCAACAATGTCAAATCCTACCACCTTTCATGTTACCTGCCTCTGACAGTCCATATGATTTATGGGAGCATCATAACCTTTCAGCTGGGAGGGAAGACAGTCACACCTGGTTGGAAGAGAGAGATCCTAGTCTCCATAATTCCTATTAATAAATCCTTTAATACAAAATAGTGGTTTGGGGGTTCTTTCAGGTACTGACAAGCTTTGTGACTTAGGAATAAATTTCATCACAGGATGACCTCACTCCTTACCTTTACCACTTCCAGCTCCTCCTTGCTGGCTGCTTGCTGTTTCTCCAGCCTGGTACTCAACTGTGAACAGATCTAAGGGTGAGAAAAGAGTCTTTTACTAGAAAATAGAACAACTCTTGCAGCATGTACACAGAACTACTTATCAATTCATATGTTACTCCGTCATATCTGATCCTAAAAGGAATTCTGCAAATGAATAGCACGGCAAATGCCAGTCATTTCTGAAATGAGCAGCAGATGGCCAGAGTGTTCCATGTGTAAAGCACACTGAACCTTAATTAGTGGAAACATACAGGGGGTAGATTTGGTTTCTTTCTGTCACTAACCTTCTGTGACTGCTTGAATTCCCGGCCTCATTTTTGGAATCAACCTATGGAATCTTTGTTTAGTATTCACTTTGTACAAGTTAGTATGCTGAGAAAATCTTGATGAAGAGAATTCTAGACAGAAATATCTCCTGTCTACTGTCACAGAACTGGTTTTCAATCACGAAAGTTTCCTTAAGAAGTGGCAGAATGGGCCAGGTGTGGTGGCTCACACTTGTAATCACAGCATTTTGGGAGGCTGAGGCAGGTGGATCATCTGAGGTCAGGAGTACAAGACCAGCCTGACCAACATGGCGAAACCCTGTCTCTACTAAAAATACAAAAAAATTAGCCAGATGGTGCATGCCTGTAATCCAAACCATTTGGGAGGCTGAGGCAGAAGAATCACTTGAACCCAAGAGGCGGAGATTGCAGTGAACCAAGATCTCACCACTCCACTTCAGCCTGGGGCGCCAAGAGCAAATCTCCATCTCAAAAAAAAAAAAAAAAAAAAAAGAAAAAAGAAAGAAAAAGAAGTGGCAGAGTGGACAGAGAAAGTAATACAGACTCAAGTTCTTATTAAGCAGGTTTGGCAACAGAACTTAGAAACTAAAAGCTTAGCTTCTGGAGTTAAATGTGAGTTTAAGGCAGGCCAGCTCTATTTCTTTACGGCTTTGTGAGCTTAGGCAAAGTCATTAATCTTTCTAAGACTCAGTTTCCTCATGATTCAAAGGTGCTGTGCTCTAGCAATGAAGTAGAAAAAAAACGATGTAAAGGGGTTAGCATAGCACCTGGCCAATAGTAAGTGTACGTTAAATAAAATCTATTATTATTATTGATTCTGAAATAAGGTGCTAGCAAATATTAGAAATGGTAGAAATAGGTGCTTTCATGGCCAGGCACGGTGCCTCATGCCTGTAATCAGCACTTAGGGAGGCCGAGGTGGGCAAATCACGAGGTCAAGAGATCGAGACCATCTTGGCCAACAAGGTGAAACCCTGTCTCTACTAAAAATACAAAAATTAGCTAGGCATAGTGGTGTGCGCCTGTAGTCCCAGCTACTCGGGAGGCTGAGGCAAGAGAATTGCTTGAACCTGGGAGGCAGAGGTTGTGAGCCGAGATCATGCCATCACACTCTGGCCTGGCAACAAAGTGAGACTCCATCTCAATTTTTTTTTAAAAAAAAAAAAGGAAGAAAGAAAGAAAAAGAGATTGTAGAAATAGTTGCTTTCAGAGGAAAAAAATCTGGCTAAGTATTGGATGTTCTAATCCATTGCCTAAAGTAAGAATCTTTTATTTTAGAAAAATAGATGAAAGGTAGGAGGATCGCTTAAGCCTAGGAGGTCAAGATTGCAGTGAGCTGTGTGGAGGCCACTGCGCTCCAGCCTGGGTGACAGAGCAAGACCTTGTCTCAAAAAAAAAAAAGAAAAGAAAAGAAAAGAAAAAGAAAAGAGAGGATGTGAAATTTTAAAGTATAATTCTGGCCAAAAACATATATGGTCTACCTCTATTATCAAAACAGACATTAAAACAAAATCCCAATCTACTCAAAACTAGCTCTGGAGATGAAGGCTTGCCTGCTGAGTTTTTGTTGGGTTTCATTCCAATTTCTCCAGATCCAAACTGGAAGAACCATTAGTAGGACTGTATTGACTGATATTAAAAAGAGAGATCAGCTGGGTGCAGTGGCTCAGGCCTGTAATCTCAGCACTTTGGGAGGCTGAGGCAGGTAGATCACCTGAGGTCAGGAGTTTGAGATCAACCTGGCCAACATAGTGAAATTCCGTCTCTACTAAAAATACAAAAATTTGTATTTTTGGGAGTGGTGGCATGCACCTGTAGTCCCAGCTACTGGTGAGGCTGAGGCAGGACAATCACTGGAACCTGGGAGGCAGAGGTTGCAGTGAGCTGAGGTCGCACCACTGCACTCCCGCCTGGGTGACAGAGCGAGACTCGGTCTCAAAAAAAAAAAAAACAAAACAAAACAAAGCAAAACAAAAGAGAGTGATCACCCTGGTAGATTTTGCGAACCTTAAACCCTTTTAAATAAACCGAAACATTATGACATAGACCCAGCAACAGCCAATTCCAACTATAAAATGCATTTAGATTGTGTCTTATATCCTACCTATCTTCAAACAGATAGGTCTGTTGCCTTCTGCATTACTCCAAGGGCTTGCCAGATAATATTCGAGAATAGGGCCCAAGGATTACTGTGTGAAGAGCGCTGCATTTGATGGCTACCCATGACATAATGTGGCAATGAAGAAAACGCATTTGTAGCGATGGCAAATTCCAGGGCACAGAGTCTTTAATGTTCCTTGTATCAGTTAGTGTTTACCACCTCTTCTCCAAGATGCCTACATTCAACATCTCAGGACCACCTTCAGTGTTTTCTCTTGTCTAGCAAACAGTAATAATAATAATAATAATAATAATAACTATCTTTTGTGTCTTCCTGTTGTCTATTTTCATTATTTTTTAGTTCAGAGACCTGGTTCTTCTTACTTGGACTCTGGTGTTCGTGTTCTGTCTCCTTGGGTCCACATTTCTCACTGGGAAGGATTAGTACCAAAAATCTGTCGTTGATTATGCCACTTTCCTGCTCAAAAAGATCCTACCACAAACAAAATAAAACACAAGGTCCCGAGCCCAGCCCTGAAGACTTCCCTAACATCCCTTTGCTTCTCTTTTGTGCTGCAATCACTCACCAAATGATTGCTTTTCTCTTCGCTAACCTACTTTCATGCCTTTACAGATCCTGTTCCCTCTTTCTGCCATTTCTATCTTCTTCTTCATCTCCACAGATCCAAGTCTTACCTAGCCTTTGAAGCACAGCTCAAAAGGTTTCATTTCCCACATGTAATAAGTTTCCTTTCCTCTTATTTCTACATAGGTATTATCTCCACGTTATATGATAAGCTTCTAGAGAAGAAAAATTGAATTCATTCATCTTTGTCTTAATACTTTGTCAAAGTATTAAACCTCACAGAGAGCAGGCATTAAATAAACATGTTGATTATCACAGAAGAGTAAAATAGCTCTAAAGTTTTATTTCTCAATCTTCCAGGAATATGCGGATTCCTTATGCAAAGTTGTTCATAATATATTAAGTGAACTAAAGCTAGTTATGAAAAAAAGGATAAATGATACAATTCATCCTATTGATATATAATACATTTATTTATAAAGCATTACTCGTATAGCAACAATGCATATTCAATCTATTTCAATGATTATCTCTCACTAGAGAGATTAAGGGAGATTTGTTTTCTTTGTCCTTCTCTACGCTCTTCTAATTTTCCACAAGAACACAAATTTAATTTATAAAATTAAATGAATTTTATAAATTAATTTAAAAAGTAAGTATCAGACTTCAGAACCCTATGTGAAGTGGAAGACCGCAGGGAGGTCCTTAGATCGGAAGATGGCATCTGGTATTCTAATTAATTCTAGAAACCTGGAACTTGAACGGTTCACTCGGGGTATCTCAGCAATGAGAGGGGTCCTTACCATGTCCAGCCCACAGGAAGGGTAGGAAGATACCGGTGGGTACCAGGAAGAAGGGCTTTCTGAGACCGCTCTGGTAATGGGGGCCAGAAACATCCTCAAGACGGTAAGCCCTTTGTTAAAAGCATCTTAAGGTTCACACAGAAAGCTTCCTGCTAGCATTGGCCTGCAAAGGGGAAGGCCACACAGCCATGTGGGGAAAAAAGTGTCTACCACATTCTGTACTGTGATAGCACTGACCCCCGAGCTACTGCTGTTTAATACAATGACTAAATTTTGCAAAAAGGCAAATGTTACAAGTGTGATCTACTGGAAATCAGCTTCTGAGTGAAGCAGAAACAGGATTTCAATAATCATCAAAAGGTTTTCCATTCCTCTAAAGCTACCAAACATTATAAACAACCAACAGATTGTTTTGGTCAGTTAGACCTCCCAAGTTATCAGTTATGAGCAATAAGCTATAAGTAATAAGTATGTCTAACCACTGTCTGCTTCAAAAAGCAGAGAGTGAGTCACCAAATTTAATAAATCTGGAAAACTATTCTGGAAACTTTAAAAACAAAAATATTTCTTCCCCAAAGAAAAACAACAACAAAATAAATTACTTTTTAATTTTTATATTTTTAGAGACAGGATCTTGCTCTGTTGCCCAGGCTGGAGTGCAGTGGTGCAATCATAGTTCACTGCAGCCTCAAACTCCTGGGTTCAAGTGATCCTCCTGCCTCAGCCTCCCAGGTAACTGGGACTACAGGCACATGCCACTATGCCTGGCTAATTAAAAAAATTTTTTTTCTTTGTAGAGATGGGTACTGCTGTGTTGCTCGGGCTAGTCTCAAACTCCTGGCCTCAAGCAATTAAAAAAAAATTACTTTTATAGCAGCACACTATAACTAGTACCTTACCTGTTTATACTCAGCAATAATAGCTGTAGTCTTCTTTATTTCGTATTCTGCCTTCTCTAGCTGTTTCCTGAAGACTTCTTTTAGCTAGAAAGAATAGAATGAGAAACATCAGAATTCAGCCAAAATCTTAATACATTTTCACAAACAAAAGTCTTTCTGATTCATAGTCAATAACACTGGTAACAATAACTATATAAATTATTTTCATGGAAGCTGCGTCTTGATAATTTGAAAAACTCAATCATCTCCAGAGATGCAGAAACCTTACTTTCTTTCCTGTAAAGTATGAGACTTAGGAGCAACCCCATTACAAAATTGCTTATGATGAAAAGAATTTTCATCACCACCAGGCCTGCTTTACTAGAGTTTCTGAAAGAACCACTACACATAGAAATGAACAACCAGTATTGGCCTTTCTAAAAAATACCAAAAAGTAAAGAGCATCAACATAATGAAGAATTTATATCAACTAATGGGCAAAACAGCCAGCAAAACATTAAATGGCAGTATTAAACTCACATATATTATTATTAATTCTAATTTTAAATCGACTAAATCCCCCAATCCAAAGACATAGACAGGTAAATTGAATAAAAAGCCAAAACCCATCGGTATGCTGCATCCAGACCCATCTCACATGCAAGGATACACAAAGACTCAAAACAAACGGATGAAGAAAGATTTACCAACCAAATAGAGAGCAAAAATAAATAAATAAATAAAAAGCAGGAGTTGCAATTCTTGCCTCTGATAAAATAGTCTTTAAAGCAACAAAGATCAAAAGAAGCAAAGAAGGACATTACATAATGATAAAAGGATCAATGCAACAAGAAGAGCTAAAGATCCTAAATATATACGCACCCGATACACGACAACCCAGATATATAAGACTTATAAAGAGACTGGGACTCCCACACAATAATAGTGGGAGACTTCAACATCAATATTAGACAGATCAATGAGACAGAAAATTAACAACGATATCCAGGACTTGAACTCAGATCTGGAACAAGTAAACTTAATTAACATTTGTAGAACTCTCCATTTTAAATACACAAAATATACACTCTTATCTGTACCACATCATACCTACTTACAGGTTTAAATGAAATATTGGCTGCTTGCTTGTTATTTTCTTCCCTCATTTTTTTCATGTCTCCATTATCAAGCACATATAGGCACACCCATGTTTAGACTGCAGTCTAGCCCCTGTTCTCTCTCCCTCTTCCTCTTTCTCTTTCTTCCTCTCCTTTATTCTTTATTATTCTTTTTTCTTCCTTTCTCTTTTTTTTTATAAAAATTATATATATATATATATATATATATATATATATAAAATTGCTTATGGCTGCTACTTCTAAACATATTGCTATATAAGTATCCATTCAGAAGCTATCTTTATCCTTATAAGAGTCTAAAACAAAACATCAAGGCAATACTGCATGCTAAATTTGTTACTCTTGATGCTATAAATTACTGAAAAAAAAAATCATTGTAGGCTTCCTTATTTATAGTCTACCTTTACTGCTGTTACCTCTGAAGGCAAAAACAGGCGGCTTTGGGGATTGGAGTTAGAAAAGATGGAGGAAGGAAGATCAGAGCTTTTGAGAAGGACAGGAGATTCGGGCACTGAAGACACTGACTTTGGAAGGAGCTTCAGTGACACATAATGGCAGGTAGTGGTTACAGTCACTGAAACGTTAAATCATGAATGCTGTAGTTGTAACCACAGTTATTTTTGTGCCCCAGCAGCTCTAGAACTCTAGGTATAGGAGAAAATCAGGAGAGTGCAAAGCATCTTGCATTGTTCTTGCCACTTACTAGGTGAGGATTCCTTCCCATTTTAGGTATCAATTGCCTAAGGGCTAGTATGTGTTTATGGAACCATGGAGCAGGTAGCACCTGGGCTAAATTCATTTGCCAAGAGCTTTATTCCTTATCTAAAGTAGCTTGAGTGGCCCAAAGATAGCAGAAACTGAAGAAAAAACAAAACCCAGCAAGGAACCTAAATAATCTAAAACTGGGTAATCAGCCCCTAAAAATTTTTGAGGTTAAAAAATATGTGCGTGAGTGTGAGTGTGTGTATATATATGTGTGTATATATATAAATAAATAAAATATGTGTGTGTGTATATATATGTGTGTGTGTGTATATATATACAATATGTGTGTGTGTGTATACACACACACACACACACACACACACACACACTCACTCACTCATATCTTGGGCCACAGTAAATGCCAAAGACTTATTTAATCAAATTGCAAAGAAAAAGAAATCACGGAACACTTTTCATAAAGTCTGGAAGGTGCTAAACGACACATTCTTCCACATGTAACTTTAGTGGAACTTTTTTTCTGGTTGCTTGGATGTAGATTTTTGAAATGCTTTATGCTGTGTTTTAAATTTAGTATTACTGATGTCTCAGAATGAAACTCATTAAAGTAAGTTAATCAGGATTTGAGATGCTTCCTCACTTTATACAAGTTAACTGTATTAGTAAAATTCAAACACAGTCTTGACAGAAGACTTCAATTGTTTGTGATGAGACTCTGACTCATAATCTAATCTGTCAGGCCCCTGGCTGGGACTGACAGGGGTAGAAAACACTGATGAAGGAGCATGTTCTTCCTTGGGGAAGCTGGAGGCTCCAATTCTATGGGCCGATAGGCCTCTCTGTCCCTGTCCTGTACTACCCTGCACTGGTGGCATTTTCTGGCTAGTTAGCCTTACAGCTCCCATGAAGAGTGTAGGGTGCTAACTTCAAGGCTGGTTCCCAAAAGGTTTCTTTATACTCCCCCAGGAAATAGGTTTGAAAGCTTTGCCAGGAATACTGATGCTCCTTAAGGTGTGAATCAGGAAAATGACGTGTGACTGATTGAGGCAGGGGTGGTGTGGCAACTCCCAGCAGAGATCTCTATAGGCTTTCCGTTAACAGTGCTCATAAACTACTTCAGAGAAGTCAATTATCTTGGAGATACAACACAAAATTTGCAGATTTGTCAAAGCTCTTGGATCATAATTCCAAGTTACTAAACCTAGAGAAAACTCAACACTCTTGCTAAATAGCTCAGTAAAGGCAAATTCCTAAAAGCTGTTCAAGGGTAGAAATCCTGCCTCCTCTTTAACACCTTCAAAAAAATGTCAGAAATGTCGAATGAAAATGTTGAGTAAGTAGACTCAACTACTTTCATTACTATTTCACATCACCTTTGATTTGGAAGAAATTTAACTTTCCTTCTTTTTTATAGTATTAATCAGTTCCCTACCAACATACCTATGTAAAGAAAAGCCTATATATTCCTTTTACCTGGGCTGTCTCTTCCTCTTGCTTCCTCTTCTCTTCTTCAGTCTCCACCAGCCTCTGTTTGGTCAAGAGGAGCTCCTTATTCAACACATCTGCCTTGTCTTCTGCCTGCAAATCATGAGGCAACACAGTCATATAGAGCATAAAGAACATGTGTGGAAATTTTCTCCAAACCCAATCTTCAGTTGCTGTTCCAAAATTATTGCAAGCCGTTCTTTTATCTCCTAGCTCAGTCCAGGGGTGGCTGCTTTCACTGAATGCCAACTATGGGCCAGCTAGTTGGCATACATTATTTCTAATCCACACCAACAATAACTTTACAGATAATGACAGTGAGGTTGGAAAAGATCCAACAAACTGGGGTCAGATCACACATCTAATAGTCACGATCCGAATTCAGATTTGAATAACCTCAAAGTCCACCCTTGTTCTAAATGCTTCTTACAGATCTTTCGATGTTACAACAGCACTCTCTGCAGGTGGATCTGGTGAAAGGGTAGAGCCTCACACAGAAATTTCCAGCTGGTGGAGCATAGGGGTTGACTCAGAGAAGAGGAGCAGACAGGCTGGTCTGATGACAACAGTTAGGTGAGAAATTCAAAGACCAGCTGAGGTAAACTTGCCCACATGGCCACTCACACCGGGCAGTGAGTCTAGTAAGAAGAAATTAAGACAAAAAACCCGTGATAGAGAGAGCCATGAAGAAAACGGAAATATGGACCAGGAATCCAGGAAGAGAAGATCGTAGTTCTAGAATGTCCAGGAAGAACTTGGAGAGAGCACTCTGGTTCTATCTTGGACACAGACCCAAAATTAACTATGAAAGCACTGTGAGTGTATTTAACTTTGATGATGGTGTCTATTTTGTACTCCGGGCTCCCACCTTTTAGGCCTCAGCTTCAAGTTCACATGGCAATGAAGCATGCACTCATCCCTGCCCCACTCACCCCCATCTAAGTTAGCTCCTCTATCTACATCTCTCACATTTCCCTTGATAGCACTGTAATGACAATTTACAAGTGGGATTTATTTGTCTTGCCCACTAGACTTTAAGCTCCAGGAGGGAGAAACCATATCTCTTTTGCTCATCACTCTACCCAAGCACCAAGCCCAATGCCAAGTACAGAATAGGTGCTCCCTAAGTACTTGGTGAATGAAGAGATGTGGCTAAATCATTACAGATGGGGACTGCGTGAAGTGGAGACAGCAGGGGGCCACAGGATGAGGTTAGCAGAGAGAACTTAGACACAGAGAAGAGGCAATTACGTGAAGAAGCTATCTCTGGCTGACAGCAGCAAAATGTCATCCAAGTGATGGTGAAAACTGGCCGGGTGGCCTTCTGTCTGTTTTCTGCCACATCTCCTGCATGTCCACACAGCCTGGCCAGCACAGTCTGCTGGGGACTGTAGGGAAACTACATTCCAGCTGCTCTGCTTGCTCTGTCTTCTGGCTCCTGATGGCTCACTGCCCAGTGGTTAGAGCTCTGTTGGCAGATTATTTGGAACCATTGAGTAGTTAAGGTGAAAAAGTCCCTTAAAAGTCTTTAGGACTCTAAAAATTGCTCTGGTGCATTAGATTTTAGGGGGAAAATCTACACAGCAAGTTAACATACTAAAATGAGAGGCAGACCTCGAGAATGCAATATGAACACTGCAGGTTATTAGTAAGTTGTAAGACATCAGATGTACGACATGAAAGTGTCTGGCATGAAGTACAGCATTTTAAAAGAAAAACAAATAAATAAACCATGGAAGCATGAAGCTTCCACTGTAGAGCCGCAAGCCAGATGGCTGACTGATGGCTTTACTCGCAAAGCAGGGAGACTCCTACCCCCAGTCTCCGACAGCCAGACACAGGGTGGCACTTTAAGAGCAGCTGTACTGCTCATTTCAGGGTTCTTAAAAACTGAACCAACTCTCTCCCTGCAACTGCAGCCCACTGGTTCAAGCTCTACCCCAGAATGTTTGAGCCATGCTAATAAAGACGACTGCAACTAAGCCTTCTTCTGACAGGACCCACAGCATTTCCACTTTGTGAAGAGACTGATCCTTTCATAATGTTCATCATGACACTCTGAAATAAATGGTTTTTTTAAAGTTTGGTCTCTTGGAGAGCCATTTAAAATTTTAGCATTTCGGCCAGGTATGGTGGCTCACGCCTGTAATCCTGGCACTTTGGGAGGCCAACGTGGGTGGATCACCTGAGGTCAGGAGTTCAAAACCAGCCTATCCAATATGGAAAAATACCATCTCTATTAGAATATATATATATATATATATATATATACATACACACACATTTTTTTAAAGAAAAAAAGAGAAAAAATTTAGCATTTTGAGGCCGGGCGCGGTGGCTCAAGCCTGTAATCCCAGCACTTTGGGAGGCCGAGGCGGGTGGATCATGAGGTCGGGAGATCGAGACCATCTTGGTCAACATAGTGAAACCCCGTCTCTACTAAAAATACAAAAAACTAGCTGGGCGTGGTGGTGTGTGCCTGTAATCCCAGCTACTTAGGAGGCTGAGGCAGGAGAATTGCCTGAGCCCAGGAGGCAGAGGTTGCAGTGAGCTGAGATCGCGTCATTGCACTCCAGCCTGGGTAAGGAGAGCAAAACTCCGTCTCAAAAAAAAAAAAAAAATTTAGCATTTTGTAAAAATGTTTTAAAGTAAATGCTGGCTGGGCACGGTGGCTCATGCCTGTAATCCCAGCACTTTGGGAGGCTGAGGTGGGTGGATCATCTGAGGCCAGGAGTTAGAGACCAGCCTGGCCAAAATGGTGAAACCCCCATCTCTACTAAAAATACAAAAATCACCTGGGCATGGTGGCAGAAGTCTGTAATCCCTGCTACTTGGGAGACTGAGGCAGAAGAACCGCTTGAACCTAGGACGTGGAGATTGTAGTGAGCCAAGATTGCACCATTGCACTCCAGCCTGGGCTAAAGGGTTAGTATCCAGAATCTACAAAGAACTAAAACAGATTTACAAGAAAAAAACAAACAAACAACCTCATTCAAAAGTGGGCAAAGGATATGAACAGACACTTTTTAAAATAAGACATATATGAGGCCAACAAACATATGAAAAAATGCTCATCATCACTGGTCACTAGAGAAATGCAAATCAAAGCCACAATGAGATACCATCTCATTCCAGTTAGAATGGCGATCATCAAAAAATCTGGAGACAACAGATGCTAGAGAGGATGTGGAGAAATAAGAACACTTTTACACGGTTGGTGGGAGTGTAAATTAGTTCAACCATTGTGGAAGACAGCGTGGTGATTCCTCGAAGATCTAGAAATAGAAATTCCATTTGACCCAGCAATCCCATTACTAGGTATATACCCAAAGGATTATAAATTGTTCTATTATAAAGACACATGCACACATATGTTCACTGCAGCACTGTTTACAATAGCAAAGACCTGGAACCAACCCAAATGCCCATTGATGATAGACTGGACAAGGAAAATGTGGCACATATACACCATGGAATACTATGCAGCCATAAAAAAAAGGTGAGTTTGGGTCCCTTGTAGGGACATGGATGAATCTGGAAACCATCATTCTCAGCAAACTGACACAAGAACAGAAAACCAAACACCGCATGTTCTCACTCATAGGTGAGTGTTGAACAATGAGAACACATGGACACAGGGAGGGGAGAATCACACACTGGGGCCTGTTGGGGGGGTAGGGGAGGAACAATGGGGAGGGGGGGGGTTGGGGAGGGATAACATGGGAGAAATGCCAGATATAAGTGACGGGGGGATGAAGGCCGCAAACCACCTTGCCACGTAAGTCCCTACGCAACAATCCTGCATGATCTGCACACGTACCCCAAAACCTAAAGTGCAATTTAAAAAAATATTTCTTTAAAAAAAAGAAAAAGAAAAGGGGAAAAACGCTTCCCTGGGAATTTTTTTCAAAAACACCTAGATATATATGCTAAGAAGATAAATTATTTTTATTTGTACATTTTCTGCCAAGCAGTCTTCATTAGGTCAAGATTAAAGCAACTTCACTTATTTCTACTGTTACCATATACAACATCTGCAGCAATTGCTGTGGGTCCTATAGGGAGGAAGAGTCCATTTTTTCAAGAAGCTTAATCCACAGTTTCTCTGCTACGTTAAACAGAAAAGTAGGAACAATTCTTCTGTTCATCAGAGTAGGGCCAGATCCAAAATAACTTGTGTATCCCTCTAACAGTGGTTTTTTTGAATCTTTGTACAGCCAACCACTATACCTCACTTAAATAGGAATTACCTTTAATGTTGATGAATAAAATGCTAAGCACATAAATATTCAAATTCTACTTTTGAGCCCAAATTATAAAGCCTTTGCCATAATTTGATAGATTGAGAGAAACATTGTCATGATTAAGTCTAAACACTTACCAACATCTTATAATGTCTCATTAATATTTAAAGTTCGAATTGCAATCTAAGTCTTCTGCTACATATATATGAGAGAAACGAGCATTGCAATGTGTGATTTAATCATGAATTAACCAATAACCTTAGGAAAGACTCAGCCTTAATATCAGAAATGAGGATCTTTGAGAAATGATTGCTGAAAGAACTAACCAGGCCAGTTGTTCAACTTAAAACAAAACAAAATAACTTTCCACTTAGTTCATGTAGATTCTGGTCTAATGGAACTTGCTATGGTGAGGGGGCACCTAGGCCCCTGGTCCTCAGCAGGATAGTACGAATCATGTCTCTGTCTCTTCTCTTCTGTTCCTTGTAAATAGGAAAGGACAGAAAAAGCTTGACAGCAGGTAGCAAACAGAAACGAAAATGGAGATGTTAGACCTTTTTTCATTTCTAATCACTGAGAAATCTTTTCTTTCTTTCTTTTTTTTTTTTTTTTTGAGACAGAGTCTTGCTCTGTCGCCACAGGCTGGAGTGCAGTGGTGTGATCTCGGCTCACTGCAACCTCCGCCTCCTGGGTTCAAGCAATTCTCCTGCCTCAGCCTCCTGAGTAGCTGGGACTAAGATGCGTGCCACTGTACCCAACTAATTTTTGTATTTTAGTAGAGATGGGGTTTCACTATGTTGGCCAGGAGAGTCTTGATCTCTTGACCTTGTGATCCACCTGCCTTGGCCTCCCAAAGTGCTGGGATTCAGGTGTGAGCCACCTCGACCGGCCTGAGAAATCTGTATTTCAGGATTCTGAGAGAGAGTCAGTTCTCAGAAAAGAAGGCTCTGTCAGATAGAAAAGCTGAAGAGGCTTTGGTGCCCAAGAAGCATGAAACTAGCACTAAAATGATAACAGTAAGGAATGATTTATTTTTGCAAAGTACCTAATTACCTAATTACCTAATTAGTGTTCATCTGCTTACATATTGTCTTTTTTTTTTTTTTGAGATGGAGTTTCGCTCTTGTTACCCAGGCTGGAGTGCAATGGCGCGATCTCGGCTCACCGCAACCTGCGCCTCCTGGGCTCAGGCAATTCTCCTGCCTCAGCCTCCTAAGTAGCTGGGATTACAGGCACGCGCCACCACACCCAGCTAGTTTTTTCTATTTTTAGTAGAGACGGGGTTTCACCGTGTTGACCAGGATGGTCTCGATCTCTCGACCTCGTGATCCACCCGCCTCGGCCTCCCAAAGTGCTGGGATTACAGGCTTGAGCCACCGCGCCCGGCCTTTTACATATTGTCTTAAATACAATCTGCTTTCATATTTGTTTAAAGCTTGCCAGTGTTTTGCTATTTTAATTAAGAGATCTGGTTTTAATGAACTGGGAATGAAAAAGTACTGGGTAAACTGGGTGAAGGCCAGCAAAGCTGGTACTTTTACCTTCAGGCTAGGGCCCTTCCTGGAAGACCCCCCTGGTGGGGCAGGTCACTTCAACTGCAGGGACAGCTTTTTGGTAGGCAAATAAACCCCACTGAGGCAGAAACTCCAAAATCAGAAGTTAAGAGGAAATACACATGAAATAGCAGTTTTTATTCTTTCATCTAGGTAAGAAGCTCCAAAACAGAGGGTTCAGGCCATATTTACTTTTCTTAAAAGACAAGAAAAGCGTCAAGGAGGGAAGAGAGAAGGGAGAGGAAGAAAGAAGGCCCTGCCTGATGGAATCTTTTCTTCACAGGCTGTTCTAGCATTCACATCATGAGGTGCCCAGGTACTCAATAATTAATTTCTTCAGGAGTACCTAAAACGGCAGTCACTCCAGACTGACTCACATAAAGGATTCTCCTGGTGAGGTGGGTGGATCACAGAGTCAGGGGTTTGAGACCAGCCTGACAAACATGGTGAAACCCCGTCTTTACTTAAAAATACAAAAATTAGCCAGGTGTGGTGGTGTTAACCTGTAATCTCAGCTACTTGGAAGGCTAAGGCAAGAGAATCGCTTAAACCCAGGAGGCAGAGGTTGCAGTGAGCCAAGAGCATGCCATTGCACTCCAGCCTGGGCAACAGAGTGAGACTCTGTCTCAATTTAAAAAAAAAAAAGATAATATTTTTTCTGATTATTAAAGTTATATATATTATTTAGTATTATATTCATGCATAATATGAATATTATAATATTCATTATTTTTCTGATGAAAAGTTCTAATATTCATTTTTACTTAACCAATGGTGGTTAGGTAACTTAAGGTCTTCTATAAATTCTAAATTGGAAAAAAGTATACAGATGAATGTAAAAATTAGATTTAATCTTACCACCCAGAGATACCTAGCAGTCACTTTTTGATGTCTTTCTTTGTGGGCTTCTTCCCTATCTATGGTTCCCCTCCCTACAAGATGACCCAATGCCAGTCCAGTAGCCCTTGCAATTCAGATGCAAACATTATAAAAGAAAAAAAAGTATTTAAAAAAATACTATATAATTATCTTCCCATTATTAAAAAAATTATTCCGGTAAGACATTTTACAGACAAACTGTTATTCTCCCCTACTAGTGAACATAGACATTATCATATTTCTGTTTTTTATTCTTATAAGTAACACTGCAGTTAACAACCTTGTATATACATTTTTTTACTAAATTTTAATTTTTTTAGGATAGCTTTGCAAGTCGGAGGATCTCCAGTTTCTTCATCTATACAGTTTCCTCATTTATGACATGGAGGATTAAAAGAATAACTGCTTCCTGGAGTCATTAGGGAGATTAAATGAGATGATGTTTATAAATTGCTATATTTAGTGCTTGGCACATAGTAGGTACTCAGGAGAAATTTAATTTTATTATTGCTTAAACCTTTTGAAGTCTTAACACTTATTACCAACTACATTTCCCAAATAACTTTGAAACTCTGCTTAACTCATTTCACTGCATCCCAACTGAATACAACTGTTTAAAAATTGTTTCATTTAGTCAGCCATCGTGAGAAAATTATTAATGGATAAAAGATTCGAAATGGCAGAATCAAGTGTGAATCAAGACCATTTGTAAAGTGAACATAGAACCAGACTTTCATTAGAGCACTGACTTATCACTACAGTCTCATTCATACAAAAATATGACTGCTGAGGTAAGGCTGAGTCGACCCTGATTGAATGGAGATCCTGCTACCTTCTCCGGTTCTGATTCTCCTCATCACATACTTCTCATTCCACGTCTCCAAAGGGGTTGGCTGATGAGGTCTCTGGTTAACAGGGCCACAACGTTTTAAAAAACAATTCTCTGGGCTGCTTTTTCTACTTTCCCTATCCTGTGTCTCAAGCAACACAGTTATTGTTGCTGTTTTCTAACTCCATTTAGTGCCAGCTCGCTGCGTCCTCCTCTCCCAGACAGCACTGTTTTCCTGAACATGGGGTCTTATCTCTGACTTTAGTATGGTTAAAACTTTTGAGCCACAAAATTAGCTATCTAGATGGGAAAAAAGGAATTGTGGCAGAGACCATTTTCAGCTGTTCTTTAATTTTAAACATTTAAGCAGATTTATGTTATTAGTGGATTTGTATTTTAAATATTGTCAATTACACCACAGGTCAATGATTCTTTTACAGACGCAACAGTTTGAGTGTCAATTTTTCTGACCCTCCATTATCTGTTGGGGATATTTACTTTGTAGAAGTCAGAAAATAGAGTGGTAATTTTAAACCTGCACAAGACTGCTTCCATATTGCCAATTGTTTCTGAAAATGCTTGCAAGAAAAAGCAGGAGGTCCTAAGACTGTCAGCTTTGTTGGAAAGAACAAGGGACACTCAACAATGTAAGGTCTTCCTAGCAACAACTAGCATCTAATGAACATGTACTATTGAAGTGCTTTACTTATTTTAATTTTATTTTATTTATTCATTTATGTTTTTGAGATGGAGTCTTGTTCTGTTGCCCAGGCTGGAGAACAGTGGCATGATCTCGGCTCACTGCAACCTCAGCCTCCCAGGTTAAAGTGATTCTCCTGCCTCAGCCTCCCGAGTAGCTGGGATTATAGGCACATGCCACCACCCCAGGCTAATTTTTGTATTTTTGGTAGAGATGGGGTTTTACTATGTTGGTCAGGCTGGTCTTGAACTCCTGACCTTGTGATCTGCCTGCCTTAGCCTTCCAAAGTGCCGAGATTACAGGTGTGAGCCACTGTATCCAGCTATTTAATTTAATTTTTATGCCACCTGAATAAGAGACCACTTTTACACCTATAGACAGCTTAAGAACTGCCCAGGGTTCACAGTGGTGGCCCCAGCAATCACAATCGGGCCGTCTGGCTCTTAGCCACTCAGATGCCTATCAGTCCAACAATCCAACTCTTAATGTAGGTACTTCATATAAAACTTCACATTTATTATAGAGAAGAATTCTTACTGGAACAAAAAGTAAGGTGTCTATGGTTAGAGTGGCATTAGTACAGGTATATTCTTGGTGAGTGATGTTTTCAGATAATTATGCTGAGAGCCATTGGTTCAGGAAAGGTATCAACAAAGGCATAACAGAGTTTAGAGGTATAAAGAAAGTATGTCACACATGCTATTTAGAAATGACCCAAACCTTTCTCAAAGGCTTGTTTTCCACTCTCTCCAATTAACACAAACTGTCCCTGCCACCTGCCCCTTCATCAAAAACAAAGTTAAGAACAAAGCAAGCTTGCAGGATGGGGTAGGGGGACGTGGTGAGAACACACTGATCTTTGTCCTGAGGAAATCATCACAGTCTCATTTCTACCCAGTGAATGACAAGTTTACCTGATCCAAGTCATTCCGTAGGGCAATTTTGCTTGTTACTAGTTCGTGGGCAAGGTCGTCATTCTCTTGTTCCAGCCTCATGCTGGCCTCCTGTAATCTTCGGTTCTCCCTCTGCAGAAAAAAAGCCACAGCCGGAGGTGAGGATTAGTGCCTGGACGTACAGAAATGAACAGAACTGGTGAGGAAAAACAAGCAACAAGTGAACTTTCAAAGGTGTAAAAGGGGAAGGCGCAGGTGGCACAGGAAGGCAGGACCGCTGTCTGGGGAACAGCAGTGAGTTTGGCTAGCAATGCAGATGTGGTTCTCTACGCGGTGAAACTGTCCCTTAAACTCTCAAGGTGGAACTTCATCATAAAAAAAAAAAAAGTGCCAAAAGAGCAGAATTTCCGAACATACCCCCCAATCCTGCGAGGTTTTTATATAGACCTAGAACACAGACACAAGCAATTCTTCATTTGGAACATGCACAGTAGTCTCCCCCTTGACCTCAAGAGAAGCCACAAGACACAGGAGGAATGAAACAGGGGGAAGCACCAGACATTTCTTCAAATTGTTTTTCTAAGACAGGGATCATATTAATTGAGTATATTTAAGAGCAGTAAATCAAGAATCATGACACATCGTTCATGACTTTGCTATCAGCTGACATTTTTATTCTTTGAGTAAGAATATACTTTTCCAAACACCTATTTTTGTGTGAGAGCAACAGTCCTTATAACAGCGCTAGTTTTTTTTTTCTTTTTTTTTAAACTTCAAATTAAAACATCCTGGGTAAAATAAATTACTGAGGATTTCTGCACCCCATCTTGAAAAATCTGAAACAAAGTTACATGATAAAAAAAAAAGTCACTAATTCTTATAAAGCAAGTAACTAAACATTATGAACGTAGTATGTTCACAACTATTTTCAGAATAGCTATTTCATTGTCTTCCATTCCAAAGTATCAAAAGTGCTTTCTTTGCTACTGTTAACAGTTACAGGAGATTTAAAAGAGAGCTGACAGGAAAGACTAATGTGATGAGACCTTCCTGTTTTTCACATTTACACTCCTAACAGTGTTTTCTGCAAAAGCGGCAAAAACTCAGACAAAGCAGTGATACAAAACCAGAAGATAAATATATGTTTTGAAAGATAGTTTATCATAGCATACCAGGTAAGGTGAAGTTAATTTTACCTTCTATGTAACAACCTGGTGTTTGTTATATTGAACAAAGACAGCCAGGTATAGCGGCTCACACATGTAATCCCAGCACTTTAGGAGGTTGAGGCGGGTGGAACATGAGGTCAGGGGTTTGAGACCAGCCTGACAAACATGGTCAAACCCTGTCTCTACTTAAAAATACAAAATTAGCTGGGTGTGGTGGTGTGTGCCTATAATCCCAGCTACTAGGGAGGCTGAGGCAGGAGAATTGCTCAAACCCAGGAGGCGGAGGTTGCGGTGAGCTGAGAGCGTGCCATTGCACTCCAGCCTGAGCGTCAGAACGAGACTCTGTCTCTAAAAAAAAAAAAAAGAGGAAGACAGTTTCTTTCTTCTTTCTGTTTTTTAAAAGGGCTAAGAAACACATAGTAAGGGCAAAGTCTGAGGCTTTCACAGAGGCAGAGGATCCACAAACAGGAAAGGCCATCAGAGAAGTTAAAGGACGAACTTGCACCTTGATTATACCAGCCACCAGGGCCTACTTCTGTCTTTTCTTTTGGAAAAGAAAAAAATAGAATAGTTGGAGAATGTTAAACATTATTGAAAAAGATATCTACTAAAAAAGATAAAAACAATCCCAAATCACTTAAATACTTTAAATAAATCCATGATAGAATTCCACTCAGTGTTAAAACACTGGAGAAGGCTGGGTGCAGTGGCTTGTGCCTATAACCCCAACACTTTGGGAGGCTGAAGCCTGAGGATTGCTTGAGCCCAGGTGTTCAAGACAAGCCTGGCCAACATGGTGAAACCTTATCTCTACTAAAACAAAATACAAAAATTAGCCAGGTATGGTGATGTACACCTGTAATCCCAGCTGCTCGGGAGGCTGAGGCAGGAGAATTGCTTAAATCTGAAAGGCAGAGGTTGCAGTGAGCCAAAATTGCACCACTGCACTCTAGCCTGGGTGACAAAGTAAGATCTGTCACAAAAGTTAAAAAAAAAATCCAGTAACAGGAAATGCTTATGCTGCCTTGTAGGAAAAATAAATAAAAAATAACTGGAGAATCTCATTATATAACACTATAAACAACAGATATTAACTATAGGTAGTGAATTTTCTTTATTGTCGTCCTTGTCCTTTTAAAAATGTTTTTAAGTTTTCTACAATGAATATATATTTGTAATAGGATTTAAAAATAGTTTTATTAAGAAAAAAAGCAAGTCAGAATTTTAATTCCATTGGAAGGGATAAGATGCCAAAATGAAAAAGAAATGTTTAAGTCCACTTCTGTTAGAAGGTCATATTCTACACAAAACCATACTGAATCCTCCTTTTTGACCAAGGTTTATAATGTAACCCCTCAGAAGTGCTGCCTTGCTAGGAACTCTTTCCCCAGATGTTCCTGAGAAGACTGTGTATGCTCTTGTAGGGGCAACTTGTCCTCATCGGATTCTGTCTGTTCCCTCAGTCTACAGAAGTACCACCCTCCCACAGAAGCACGATAAATGTGGAGACTAAAAAACAGATTTCTAAAAAGCCAGAGCTTCTACAGTGGAATCTTTCAATCTTTGCCTAAGTAACACGATTTCTAGCAGGGGCTGGAGAGTTAGACTTTATTTCTGATATCACTATTACTCCTTTTCATTTCTTGTAGAAAATGTAGATTAAAAAAAAGATGAGAAACTTTTTCAACAAATTTCAACAAATAGCCAGGAAAGAGTAACAATACCAGCACAATTTCAACATGACTTATTTCACAATGCAGGCCGCTTACGCAGGGAAGAGAGTTTTCTCATTTTTTGACACATCTCTTCAAGAAACTAGGATAAAGCTACTTCAACAGCTATTCCTGAGTTAAGTATCCTATTGCTGTTGAAATTGTACTTGTAGAACCCCCAAGTACAAAAAGCTCCCTCAACTATTATGTACATCACATTCATTGGGCACAAGTGAAAATGTTGCCAGTGAAAAGGTTACAGTTATATGCTTAGAATTGAGTTGAAGTTAACCTCCAAGTAAAGTCATAGGATGTTCGTGGAAAAGTACTCTGTTCAAGTATTTAGAAATCATACCAGGTAGCTACTTCACTGTTGATAAGAGATACATGTCTGATGGATTATCTGTTACATAAGAAAAAGGTGTGAGTTCAGCTGAAATTCTGACTAGGAACTTCTCATTACAATGACTGTTGCAATGAAACCCTTCCTTACAGACACACAGCTAAACGGGTAAGGGCAAGGGTGGGAAAAGATTTGGGGGAAACTGAGTGTCTCAGGGTCCCTGAAAAGCAAAATAGCCTAGAGGGCAAGCCTACTGGCTTTTGCTTTAGCAAGAAGCTTCAATTCAGTGTCTGCAAAGCAAGCAGTACAGTGGGAAATGTCAGACTCCTGCTCTGCACTCACAGACAAGTGGGAAAGCAAGCTATGGGGCCAAAAATGCAGTATCGTCCTCCGAAGTATGAACCCAGGGGTGTCCTCATGAGTCCCCCAGAGCCACTGAGTGCTCCTGAGCACTACAGTGAGACCCTGCTACTGAGATGGAGATTTTCTACAAAGAACTTGCCACACTTACTTACTGAGGGTTAAACAGAGCTGATATTACTTGGCTGTCTTTTCTAGTTCTTCTCAAGGAGCCAAAACTGTTTTCAAATTGACTGATTCCAGAAAAAGTTTGCCTGTATACTAGAATGGAGAAGATAGTTTGGTTTTCATGGACTTGGGAAAGGTAGTAACCCTGCCTGGTTTCTTTTGAAATGTTGACAAGGGTTGTCCGGGGGAGACAGACTTAAAGTCACCGCCAATAACTTCAGTCATCCCAGAGAAATTCACATGCTGTAAGTTTGCACAAGCAGACATGCTGAATGCTCAAAGCCTGTAAACAAAACAGGCAAACTGGTTCCCTCTTGCCTTTCGGAAAAGATTACAGGAGACACTGCTTACGTAACTCTTAAAACTCACATCACACTATCTGAAACATATACTCCCCCATCTCATAACAACTGACACCATTTGAATAAAAAGCAGATAACAACTGTCCTCATACTTTCTCTCCTCATGGATAGGAGATGTACAGCTGGGAAAGTTTGGTTAGTAACTTTTGGGAGGAGGATACTGCATTTTTCAAAGACAGAGACACTGATGTTACAGACATACATAGATTAAAAAAAAAACTTACCTCCTCAAAAGTCATAGACCAACTACCGTTTTCAATCATAGGTACAAAGACAATTGAAAAAAACAAAAGAATATCCAATGAAATTGAACACCTACTAAAATATTTATGAAATGGCAATAACAAAAACAGACACTTCTTAATGCTCTTTTGCTTTTCCTTTGAGTGTCATATAACTCTAAGTTCTCTCTGTGACTGCAAACATTCAATGGAACAAAGTATACTTGAGGCAGCCAGTGGGCAAGTCTCAACTCAGGAAGACTCATATCCTAAAACTCCTCCCTCTCCACAATGCTGCTTAGTTTGCATGAACGACTAAAATGCCGTATGTGGAACTATTAGCAACTACGGTGTGAGTTGTTGATACTATGTTGTCAAAGCTGGGTGGAAGGAACTTCCTTATATGATAAGGTCAGAAATCTTGCAAAATAGTTCATCTTCAGACAAAAGAAGGAAATTGCTGGGCAGGGTAATGCAAAAAATCCCAGATCTCAGTTTTACCTAGGGGCTGAAGTCTGGGTGAAGCAGTTCAAGGGATTGTGAACGTCATTTATTCCAAAATGAGAAGCCATAAAAATGTGAACTAGCAATTAAAAGTAAAGTAAGCTTTAAAGGAAAAAATGACAAGGAGGGAGGCAGCTTTATAAACCCTAGCTCAATATTTTGGGTGTTGTCTGCTGCTATGATGAATTTTTGGCACGTGTTTTTAAAGACTTTTAAGGGTCAGGAGAAAATGTTTTCCTAAAAGACGCAGTGCAAATGTATTAGCAACAACACACTCAACTCTCACGTATTTT